GGGGGGGGGGCAGTTTGACCCCAGTGATCGTACAGAACATTAACAAACCCCTTTGAAGTTTTCTCTGTGAGCTGTAGTCAGACTCCAGATGCCTTGAGGGCAAACTGAATCATTTATTCACAACAATTAGAAACACAGTTTGAACAGCCTGTATGGAAACCGTCACCATTTACCAGTGTTGGAAAGTACATTTACCCTACTAGCTACTATACCCATACTACTTTCTTTCATTGAATATTTCCTTTTTATCCTACTTTATACTTGTACTTTAAATGAGTCTTTGGATTTTATCCTACTTCGTACTTCATTTAAGTAGCATACAGTATTCTGTGTTTTAAAGTATATATTTGATGCTAAATACTGCAGTTTTATTAAAGGTCCCATGTCATGCTTTTCCGGTTATTACCCGTCGCCTTGTGTGTTATGAAGGTTTTTCTGCATGTAAACGGTCCAGAAAAACCTTCATAACACACAAGGCGACGGGTAATAACCGGAAAAGCATGACATGGGACCTTTAATAAAACTGCAGTATTTAGCANGACAAAAAACAAAGAAAAGAAAGTCTTTAAGATCACAGAATACGCTCAGGTTATCAGAGACATTTATTACAAATACATTTTTACACATATTTTGAACTGGTTAAAAAGGTAGCCATCTGCTGGTAGTAGATGCCCTACTGTACGGTACTTATTTATAATTTCATTTAAACATCACATGCATGCATCTCGGAGAAACGATTAGACCCTGTATTCCAAAAAGGGTCAATCTAGACCACATGCTTAAAATGCAGAAATTAACCTAAATATTCCGTTAAGCTCTTTAAGGCGAGTCAAGGCGAGCCCCCCCCCCCGCCCCCCAGGATACATGACTATTATATTGTTACTCATATAATTTAAATTATAATTTTGTCATTTATTCCTCTCTTTATGTCTAATCCCTTAAACGACTGTTTTTGTTTTCTTCTTTGTCTCCATGTCTAACATTTTGTTATTTTTCTTTACTTGTAAATTCACCTTACCTTCTTCTGTGTATCTGTGACACTGTATTTGTATGCACTTGTCTTGTAACTCCTATATCACTAAATAATAATTTATTTTTTTAAAGAAAAAAAGGAAAGGAACCTCGATGTATATCTGAGGCTCACCTCTATGTAGTACGAGTCTGGGCTCTCTCTGTAGGCCGAGGCGATGCTGGCCTGAACCGCCTGAATCCACGACTGTCTCAACTTCTCAGACTCTGCCTGAAGCATGCAGCTCCTGCAAACCACACAGAAGAATTATCATAATCATAATTTTCCGTCTGTACACATCTGCATAATGTGACATATGACATGCTTAATAGGGCTGACACAAACAATTATGTTCATTATTGTTAGTTTATAGAAGTTTGATCTATAGAATAAAATAGTGAAAAGGGTCCATCCAGTTTTTAGCCCCAGGGTTTGGATCAAAAGATCTTTAGTTTGATATGACATCAAACAGAAATAGGAAATAGATAACATATACATCCATATTTTCGAATGGACAAATTATTTTAACGATTAATAATTGTTCTGTTTATTGAATATTTGAATAAACAAATTGACAGTAATAACAAAAAGGTTGTGGGTGACAGTCATCATGTTTCAGGTCTTACAGAAAACATAAAAACCTCACCCTTCAGATTGGAAGGATTATACTGAAAGTACTTTGCATAGGTGAAGAACGGCCACAGATCTTTTTAAACTTCCTCGAAAAAGAGCCTTTCAATATTCATGGAATAAACAAAAAAAGGCAATAACGGAACAAGAGAAGATACAAAGATTAACTTGGGCACGATAACATATACAATGTATAACTGGGCTGATGAAGGCGTGACATAAAAGGGTAGATATTACAATTCACCCTCTGAGGAGCATGAATGTGTGTATCAGATTGCATTCAAGGCTTTTAATGTCATACGGACATAGCTACAGTGTAGTTATGTCGATGAAAATCCTAGGTCCCAGGCTCCTCCAACAGTGCAACACAATAAGTACTAAGTAAATACAATCAAAAAGAATAGAAGTAGTGCCATAAGAGTCTATTGCATGTTAATCCATCCAATACTGAACAATACTTACTTGGAGGGGGAGACGACCTCGAAGCAGAACCTCCTCTCGATGTCCTCACACGGTTTAACGGAGCACAGCCTGAGGTCCTCCACCACCACCGTGAGAGAGTCCTGAAAACACAAAAAAACTTAAAATGGTGCCGCCGTATATCTCACTTGGTCGTTTGGTAGCGCTGGACGCAGGTTCAAATCCATCCAAGACATTCATGTGGCTTGCTAGTTTTAGAATAGAATAGAATGTAGAATAACTCTGCTTACCAATAAGGCTGCCTAAACACAACACAAACATAAGACAGCTGTTCCTACTTCATGATATATATTTTTTTCCTGGCAGTTAGAGTACGTGACTATTACATATTCACACACACACTGATGTCAAGCAGAGAAGACTGACCTGAAAGCCACACTCAGATACCTCTTGACTGAGATGATGGATTTCACTAAAGATCACCATAACGCTAAAAAAAACATCCAACCCCCCCCACCCTCCATTAAAGTTGCACTTAACCACTTAGAGCCCACTTTACCCCGGGGAAAGCTGATAGCTGCCAGATATACGGACTCACCTTGAGCTTCTTCTGGTAGACCAGCTGACTGTTCTGTATGGAGAACCACCGTCTGCAGAGAGAGGGATAAATAACTTAGTATAGAAAGGATAACCTTCCAATCTTTAAGGGTCAGCGTGCAAAGGAGAAAAACATTGTGTCCATGTGAGAGGAATTCCTCACATGGCTTCACATCACACACTCTTTAACCCTGAATCCGCCTCATAGTGACAGGAACATGCTGAAACACCATGAGGAGATAGAAGTACATTCTTGATTATATTACATAGCATTTAATACTATATTTTAACATATTGTACTCGCACTACCTCACTGCATTTACATTTTTTTTTTAAAGGGAACCCATCCTACTAATGTTCAGGTTCGTATTTGTATTGCTTACATCCTTTAATGTTCAAAAAGCTCTTTATTTTTCTCATACTGCCTGTGCTGCAGCACCTCTTTTCACCCTCTGTCTGAAACCAGGGCCCAGTCTGCTCTGATTGGTTAGCTGGCCATCTCTGTTGTGATTGGTCTAACGCTTAGAGATGTCCCGCCCCTTATCACGTACAATTTGTTGGAGCGCTAGCCAATAAAAGCGTAAGGGTTACATCGTGAGGGGGGGGGAGTGTGTGAGAGAAGGATTTTAGCCTTTGCAGACCATTTACATGCACAAAAACATATATAACATGAAAGGGAAAACCCCTAAAAAGCAGTATTTAAAGAAAAAAAAAAAATGAATTGCACACTTTAAAGCCATGAATGCCAAACATTTGCTGGTTGCAGCTCCTCTGATGTGAAATGTTTCATCATCAACCCACTGTGTATACTAATGTGATACTCTACAGTGAATACTGATGTGTGCCCTCTTAGTTACCTGTTCCAGGTCTTAAAGGCGTTGCTGGCCCTCTTGAACAGGTAGCCCTCCATCACCACACCGTTGGGGGCGTCCACGTTGAACTCCACCTTAGAGTCGTCATAGGAGAAGTCCTGAAAGAGAAGAAGAAGAGACACATAAGACTCACAACATTTAAAACAGCAGAGGATTGAAGGCAGGTTGAGCCTTTACATCGTCCAACAGGAAACAGAGCTGCAGAGAAGGGCTGTGTGCTGTTCCTGGAATACCAGCAGCATTGGATGTGCGATGTAATGTACATACAGTCCATTAACCGACCGAATGAGCATACACTGTGCGGCCGTGTGGAAGAAGTCACGTGTTTTAGTCCATGTATGCGTTGGAGATGCATGCCAAGTTCCTGCCTGGCACACTGGGGCATTTCGTAACTCAACAGATGTGAATGTGACGTAAATCCTATGAACAACTTATGATTCATGAGAATTAGCCTCCAACCTTTTCATGACTTATACCATGACATGTAGCACTTTAAAGCTAGCCAACAGAGAGTGACACAGGTATTTAAAGCTTAGCTAAAAAACATCAGTGTTTTGATGTAGGAGTATGACACAGCATATCCTGAGAATGCTAACAAGCTATATTTAAGAGGTAATATAATATACAGGAGGAACAGAACATTCACTTATCCATAATCTGATTTAAACATCACATGCATGCAGACATGAGAGACGACCAGATGGTGTTTTTCAAATCGGGTCAATTTAGGCTGCACGCTAAAAATTGAGAGATTTACCAGACATATAAAAAACTACCAGAGTAGCCTATGTGTGAGTGTAACTGCAAGAGTGCCCCACTGTCTCATAACAGGGTGTGTGTTCACCATCCACTACTTATTTGGTGTTTAAATGATAGATTAGTTGGTTGCTCTCCACCATGTAATCATACAAATGTTGTCAACATGTTGAAGAAAATAGCGCTGGATTCCAAAACACATGAGAGAAATATAGTTTTAGTTATGGCTCTTCATCAGGAATCATATTTACAAAGAGAAACAAGATGTGTACTACATAGACTCAAGTCAAAGTGAGCAAACAATGATAAAAGAAAGAGAGACCAAATCTAGTACAACACAGACGACACATTTCAGAAAAGGCTTAATACAACTGAAAGTTTAAAAAAGATATTTAAAGCTAGAAAAGACGGGCAATACAAGAAAGACAGTTTCAACATAAATATGGTTTGAAAAACGTCACTGGCGGCATAAAAAGTTAAATATAGCAAAAAGAAAAACACATAGAAAAAAATGGGGATTTGTTCATAGAATGGATTCAACACATCACCATTTCCTTTAAAGCATAATGGAATCCATTAATAAGAAAGTATGAGGTAAAAAGTTCAACACTATACAAATTATGCAGGAATTAAACATGATTACATTTTCCTGTGCAACTATCTTCCAGTGTGAACACCTATTTAAAAATGTGCATGTACGTCATTGAGCATTACACCTGGGAACCCCAAACATTTTTAGATTTTAATGAGAGCAACTGTGCTGACTGAGGGAGTTAAGTAGGAGAAAGAAAGAGATACTTTAACAGTGAGATAGAGAAGTAAAACTACTCCAACAACAACACACGCAGATGTCTCGTAAAAAAACAGAGATAAATACTCCGGATACAACAACAAATATCATGATAATAACCAGTTAACAATCTGAACCAAAGAAACAACCAGCCAAAGTAAAGCAAATCTACCCACCGAACTGCGGTCCCAGCGGGCGAGGATCTTCATTTTCAAACGTTTAGTGTGTTTCAACAACATGTCAGAGCACAAAAAGGCAACAAAAAGGGTTTCAAAATAGACTCCTTTAACGCAGATCCCTCAGATTAGCAGCATGACTCTCCTCTCTCTCTCTCAGCGGAGGTTAACGCATCGTGTCGCTGCGTAATTCCAACAGTGCGCTCTCCACTACAGCCACCTGCCAGCCTCAGGATTAGCACTGATTAGCATACAGCTGCTAACGTGGAGCAACAGTGGAAACACCTCCCAGTACTGTAGCCGCTCCCGACTCAAACAGGCTGCTTTGACACTTCAGTGTTTCAGTTTTCAAACTCCCTAAACACACCTCCCTCTCTGGGGAGGGTCCTCTGTTGACCCAGAGGGAATCTATCTGGCAGGGGCCCAGATCCCCCAAACAAACACCTCTCAGGGCGTGATTTACCATTGCTGTAACAATCTTTTTAGAAGTGGATACAAGCCTATTGCTTAAAAAAGCCCGTTAGCCACTGGAGTTTTATAAAATAGCGACCATTTTCCAAAAATGTATGCCATTTCCAGCCGATGAAACATAATTTTACCTAGATCAATTTTGGGGGGTTTTGGTAGTGAATTACATGATGTTTCCCTATGGCGAAGTCAAATATACAATTTAGAAACTTTTGGGTGTCATTTTAAGCACAACATGTTTAATTATGGGGCTTATTAGACAGAATCTGGGACAATTAACCTAACTAAGACTAGTTTTCTATGTTAGCAGAATAAGTTACCCGTCATTGAACACCTTGATGTAACCAGGACTACCTGTAAAGTAGCTACTACAATCCTACACCTCAAAATACAACCACAACCCCCACTACCATGCATGTTCGGCTTTCCATTGGCACGTTATTTTGGTTTTGGCTCAGATACGGTAAAAATAATCTTCTGAACAACTCCTGACGTCTGAATTTGGTTTCTACGTGGTCAAAAATTGGTGATTTGACAGCAAGAGCATTTAAGTCAAGTGGAAGTGATGTTATTGCAGAAAAAGACATTTGCAAGCCATCATTGGAAGTCATCTTGAAAATGCATCTTGGATTGTTTGAGTTCCAACAGGCTTTTTTTTTTTTTTAAAGTAACCTCCAAGGAGTTTAAGTGCCGATTTGAGTACTTCTCCTGGTATATTCAATTATCTGAAGCACTACAACCAACCACAGCCAACTATTAAAGATAAGAAGTCAAACAGCTTACCTCCAGATTCCTCCCTTTCCCTGAACACAACATCCCATGCAACACTGAAACAAGATGTGCACTGTGTGCTACTCTGAAATCGCTCAAGCTTACAACAAAGATCATCTATTTTTAATGATGCAACGTCACACAGGCAGAAACTGAACATGAGTGAATTATTGAAGCAGCGGGGAAACAGAGACTTTCCAAACGATGGGAAGCAAGGAAGCAAAGTGTGGGGAGGATGCAGACAAAATGTCCTGATGTTTCCTCCACCTGCTGCTGAGCGTACTGACGTTACACCTGGAGAGCCAACGCCAAATAGAGACCCCCGGACGGATTATTCATGATGTTATTGCTTATACAGTCCCGCCTCAAAACACATCTTTTCAACTCTGTCTACCCATAAACCCCCCACCCCTCTCAATCAACTTCCTCTAGACTACCTTTTTATTTTTTTTATTTTACTATACTTACTTGTTTGCCTGTCCTTGTTTGTCTACCCTCCCTCATATTGTAAAGCGCCTTTGAGTTGTGAAAAGCGCTATATAGATAAAATGCATTATTATTATTATTATTATTGTCCGCAGCATCCTTTTCTGTGTCTCAATATCAACGTGTTCCTCTGTTACACATTGTTCAACTTTTGCAGCCTGAAACGCCAGGAAAGCTCCGCTCTGCTACCCACAATTCAGTTCGGCGAAAAGCGAGGCAACGTGACGTCACCCCATTCAAAATGAATGGGCAGACGCGTTGGAAACCGTTTTTGAAGCTGTCGAAGCTGTAGTGTGGACGGGCCGTTACGCTTGACACATTTTAATGCCTTGACTGTTCATTACTGTGCATTGTCCCTGCCAAATAAACGATTAATGAAAAAATGACTTGCTGAAAATACCTGACTAACTTAACCATCATCAACCATTCTTCAACAAACCTGATTGACTTCCCTTCATAAGTCCCAAAGCCCCCAAAAGTCTTGAAAATACACTGATGATAAGAGAAATTCAAGAAGCCACAGTCTTACATATTATGTATTTGTGCAAATGTAAAAGAAAGTTGCCATGACAAGTACAGTAAGTAAGACAGTTAACGACATGCAAAAGGCTTGAATGCCCTCTTAATGTTTTTCATTTTTGTAAAGCACTTTGAATTGCCTTGTGTGGAAAGGTGCTGTATAAATAAACGTGCCTTTCCTATAATGAGCTGTGTTGGAATACAATAGGGATGTTGAAGATAAGGAGATTAAATGAGTGATGGTTTGTCTTTATCTAACGAAACCCTCTGGTTATGTGTCCCTGAATAAATGTCTGAATAGCAAGTGTTGCATTTCCTTTGTCTATTCTGAAAGCTGAGGATATTTGGACCGAGGAAGAACAAACAATTATTAAGACAGATTTTGAGTTTCCACTGAGAATTTCATGGGTATTTCTTTGATAAAATGGCAGCAAAAATATACTGTTTCTGACTTGCATGATATAGTGGGCACTGATTAGTCAAATACAACCATTTTACCCAGTTAGTTTTTTGATAATTAAGATTTTTTTTATGCCAAGAATGTGCTTGTTTCAGCTCCTCTAATGTGAGACTGTTGGCTAACTAAGACTTCAAATATAGGAAATTAATTATCATCACTATTTTACATGCAAATGACGATTGGCAGACCGATCATCAAGGACATTACATGAAGTAGCAGAAACTATTTTACCATACATGTTATTACATTATGTATATACATGCATGTATGTACTGTATATGCCTCCTATCTCTCGTGTTGTTGTCCATAGCACCATACAACGAAAGCATGTAATCATTATTTTACTACAACGTCCATCTGGAGTTCGAAGCAGTGAAAATCAAGCCAATGGAGCACATTTGGGGCATCTTGCAGCGCTGCTCTGGTGATGTAAACACAGACAAATAGAATAGCAGGAGGAGCGACAGCAGGAACAGGACTTCTCCATTAAATCCTCCGTTAAAAATGAATGGCTGTGGTATTTCTTTTCGCTGCACGGCGACAGCACTTTAACACCCTTTCTGCTCTCCGGATTTGTACTTGCACACCGAGAAGGAGCTGCCCCTTTGACCTGTGTATGTTTACACAAGGCTTGTTGCACAGAAGAAACAAGAAGAGAAGAAACAAGAATAGAAGAAACAAGAAGTGGGGAATAACAAAGTAGGCCATGTTGTTCTGAAAGCAGCGGGGAATAAGGAATACACATTAAAACGACATGCCGCAGTTTCCTGAATGGATATCTCTCAAGATACAAGATTCTGAAAGATGTTCATTTTGATGCATATTGAGCTACTAAACATGTAGGTAATAAGATAATATAATATATTTATGAGGGAACTGCTAATTCAGGACACTGTATTGTAAAAAACTAACTCCCTATACACAATTTATGCTACAACAAATCTACACTTTAAAGAAATATTTCAGTAAACAGACTGACGAAAGAAGACACGTGTGTTAACCATTTAGTCAGAGGTCATCAGACTTTACATTAAGTAACAGTTACAATACCGCAGTGTACTGTAAATGTCCTGCATACAACACATTCCTTAAAGGTCCCATGTCATGGCCATTTCCACTGATCATAATTCCATTGTTGAGGTCTACTAGAATAGATTTATATTGTGCAATTTTCCAAACTCACATTGGTTTCTCAAACAGCATCTCTGTAAACTACGTGTATTCACTGAATTTCACTCTCTGCCTTTAACGGCTCGTTGTAGCTCCAGTAGCTCCAGCCCCCACCCTCCCTGTGAGCACAGTGTGCTCTGATTGGTCGGGACGTTGTGAATCGCGCTAAGCTCCGTGGAGGTGTTGTTTCCTTGTTTAGCGATACACAGCGAAACACAGCCAAACTCATCCTGAGCACACACAAAGTCACAGCCGAAGTAAAAACAATAAGTGTGGCTTGATATTGAGTAAGAGAAAGGTTGATAAACGCTGTGAGAATGGGTCTGCAGAGAGAATTTCGCCGCGATCCCAACTGTCTGTTATCAGCCTGCAGCCAGGGAGGAGAAATCAGCAGAGCTGCTTGCACTGAGTGTGTGTGTGAGGAAGTCCGTGGATTGGTCAATTTGGACCAATCAGCGGGGGCTTAACGTAACGGCTCCGCGGACGTAACGTAACGGCTCCACGGATTGGTCCATTTCGTTCCGGGTACGGTTGACATCATGCAGTACCCGGAAGAATCTGAATGGACAATGACGTATCTCCAACGAGGCGTTTTGGGGAGGTATATTCTGTGTTAGAGTTTTACTCGCAACAGGGTGTACTTTGAGGGTTTGCGACTCTGCAGACCGTTTACATGCATAAAAACCTTCATAGAAGGGGACGGGTGATAACCAGAAAAGCATGACATGGGACCTTTAAGATGATCGATGGCTACTGCCATATTTGCAAAATTTGCCTCTGAACCTTGACAAGTGCATGTTTCAGGCTTATCAATTAACAACAGGAGGGGTCACAAACATAAGACCAGCTGTTAAATAAAGCTCTTCTGACCTTAGCTGGCATGTGGGTATATATATTAATGCTGCCCATTATGGGCAAAAGCAATTTTCACCCATTTATTAATTATATGTTTTAAATTTGAGTGTTTCCTATCCCCTAAACCTCCAGGGATGTACACAGTTTAATACTTACAACTTCTTATTATGGGAAATACGAAAACGTCTTTTAAAACTACAACTCCCAGTAGAGACGTGCCATAGATAGAGAACATGTTGCGAAACACAATAGCCAGCATGTGTAGTTCTGGGGACGGGGTGG